TCTGCAATGACAACCCAAAGTATGTCCTCAAATGCAAATTACACATATATGAATCTCACACTTAGTTTCTTATTCTCTCAGAAAGGCTTTCCTGAGACCGAAGAAAGATGCCACACAAAACTAACGCCAATGCCAGCTGAACTAGAAGGTACTTTTTGCAGTAAAACTGAGCATGACACCCCTTTGTTCCATCTCCCAATGCACATTTCCCTTACTTGCCCTTATTCCTTCAAAGGAATAATCTATTTTCTTGCACATCAGAGAATTTTCTCAGCCATCCGATTTCCCTTCATTGAGACTTTACTCTCATTCCACAGTCACTTTGTCTGCAACACTGAGCTCTAGTTAATGCAGATATGAAGATTTTCTTCGTAATGCAACACAAAACCTTTGCAGAAAGCAGTCACCTTTAGGCAATTAAGACCAATCACCGAATATCTGAACACACTGTGCACAGCCTTAAAGCCAGAAACCCTCTTCGGATGACCTCTTAAATTAATGATACTTACTCATCATTTAATGAAGGTGTGTAACTTTTGATCACCTCAGACATTAATTTAATGAAACAAGTAAGTCTTCCAAGATTTTCCCAAATAAGTACCAGAAGCAAACGTTGGTTCATTTTTAATATGTCTCCTAAACAGTATATGGCAGGAACTTGTAGTGCAAGGAGTCTACCTTAAAATTCTAGGAGAAAGCACAGTCCTATGTTGTCTTTCTCTTCAGGATTTGCAGGTGGCCTACAATCTGCTCGACTAGCCAGCAGGAAAATAGGATCTGGCTGAGTGGTAAACAGCTAATGCAATCATTCAGACCAGAACAGAGTGGGGAAAAAAACCCTCTTTTACATTGATTTAAACAGAGTTCAAGCATGAGAGAAATTAGGATGGATCAACTCTATGATTCTATGAACACTGTATATAACAGAGGAAGAAAAAAAATAAAAAGTAACTAGATAAGCTGAGGATTTCAAACAGTTTCACAGAGAAGGCAGCCATCACGTCAGGGTCCTACGAGACAAGCCTGGACTGTTTTTTTTAAAAGAAAATTGCCAGTTGCAGTAAAGCCTTTGCTCCAAACTTCAGACACGTTCACTCTGAACTCATTAGTGACAAAAAGCTGCGTGCTCAGCGGAATCGGCACCCGGTGTCTTCGCTTCTGTCTCTGTGGATCCACTAGAGGGGGATCCTAAATTAAACATCCGCAAGTGATGCCAGTGGGAGAAGAGCAAGGAGGGAACTGCAGGCAAAGCCCCATGACCAAGACCAATACATTCTTCAAATATGTGCAAGAGAATGAGACTGGATGATTTTTGCTTTTGTGTGGTTTGTTGAATTTTTGGTGGGCGTTTTTTGGGGGTTTTTTTTGAGAGCGCCGTGAGCAACAGCTGCCTTGCAAAACAAAAGGTTGTCCACAAAATAATCTTTAATATTCCTCAGTAGTCACTTCTGTGAACCCTTGCAGAAAGTTTAAAATTCGTCTACAGCTTTATGAATTTCTGAACAGAATGCTCAGCTAAGATTAAGAGTGCTTCCCTTTTATGAATAAAACTCAATTTAAACTAACCAAGCTAAAAAAAGAAACTGCCAAAATGAGAAAACATAGCAGAAAATAAGGATACTGCAAGAATCAAACTTTATTTATAAGCAATTCTAGAGTAAGAGGGAAGTTATCTATACAGGCTTGCTTTATTTTACTTGAGTTGGAGATTCTGTATGCTGGTTTAGATATATTAGGAAACACGGCAATTTACATAAATTAAAGGCAAGTTGTCCTCTTCAGGTACAGATTTTTGAAGCAGCATCGTCAGAATATCAATTAGGACTGCATGTTAGAAATTTTTAAAATCTACCTGATAAATCGGAAGAAACAAAATATATATATATCAATAACAAAATCAATATATATCAATATATAATATATTGATCTTCATGTATTAGCACATATTCTTTTCATAACATACACCCACCACCACCTTTTCAAAAAAAGGCTAATTTATTTACAAAAAGGGAGGAGTAGTTGCAATTCTTTTCCTAAAATGAAGAGCTAATATTAGAGCCTCGGAGCTAGTATATCCAGCTATGGCAGAGATGCTTGTGGGGAAGGAGAAAGCAAAAAAAGAAAATCAAATTAACACCAAAGATTCATTTCTAGCTGCACTTTTAGGAAATTATACCAACTCTAGAGAAAAGAAATGCATTAAACTTTGAGCAAGAAGTTTAATTAGTTTGTTTCTAATCCACAAGCTACTCAGTATCCGATTTCTACTATTCAACCAGACATTCTCAGAAAGATGCTTTATCTTTTTTACGTCTTACACTGATACAGGTCAGAACGTTAAGGAATGTATAGATCATACACCAAGAAACCTCCCAGCTGATAAATTAGGAGCACTTATTGACAGTATTCTAAGACAGGTATGTTATGAACATTTATCTTTAAATATTGTCTGGAAATAGTAATAGGCTTACAAATTCTATATGCATAATTATGATTTTTTTAATTTTTTTCTTTTACAAGCAGAGTGCAAAGCTAGTCATCATCAGACATCTGCTGAAGTGACACTGATAACATTAAACTTTGGGATTTTTTTATCTTGACTGAAGCTAGAGCACCTACATGGCTGTGAAAGAGGCAAGTGGTAGCTAACCTTAAACAGCCACAGCCCTTGGCTGACAGAAGTTACAGAAGAACAGTGATCTTCTGAGTCGATGGTGTCCATCATAAGTTTGCGATGCAGCTAATTAATGAATTCTGACTTGTACCTACTACTCGCAAGTCAAACTACAGTAAGGAGGAAAAAAAAAAGTTATCATCTCACAATTCAGAGAACTTTAAGGTTCCAACCAGTCATTATCAAACATAATTATGCAACTTAATTTACATCCTTGCCAGACCTACAAAAAGCCATTAAGAACAAACTAGATAGACCACAACACTAGCCAGCCACCAGGACATACTACAGTCATACTCAACTCTCTTTTCATAAACGCCGCAAAAATTCACCTAAAAGCAGAACACCCTCCCTATCATCAGAGATTAATTGGTATTAAATTGAATAAGACACACAAATTCAAATTGAAGGGCCACTTCAGAGATCGGTGAAGGGAAAACTAGAAGAATAATTTGGAAGAATTCATGGTTTGGAATGAGCACAGGATTGAATTCTAAATAGAGTAATTTTATTTTTTTTTAGACTAATTTAAAAGTTCACCTCTTCCCTCTACCCATTGAAGAAATTACTGAAGCGATGCAATGACACAAAGAGTTACTTTCACTGAGTTACTTTCTCCTGTGGAATTACATTGATTATAGGCTACTGTTGGAATAATGTTTTGTATTACTAAAGTTACATTTAAAGAAACTCCTAAAAACACTTTTAGTTTTATGCAAGCTTTTACTAACTGAAGTGGCATCTTGGTTCCGTAAAATTTCTACTACTGCAGAATGTAACAACGTAGCTGTTAGTCCAGGTACACTTTGCATAAACCAGCAAGAGAACAGTCAGTAGAAAAACCATAATAATTCATGAAACAAAAAACCAAATTGACCAATTAAAAAATGAGCACTGTCATGCCTGCTTATGTCAATTCAGCCTCTCTAGTACCTTCATTTAGTGTTAGGAAGTGTAGTTAAATTAAATGATAAAGAAAAAAAAATATATATATATGCATACATACCCATATACACAGTTTAAAACATGTACTAAACTCTTCAAGTACAGATACTGGGAAACAACATAAATCCCTTAGACTTGTGGTAATTATCATAAATCAGGCCTTTTCAGACTTTACATCAAATGAGTATTAACCAACACTCACATGTTCCCAAATGTTGGTTGAGAGACATATGATAAACAGCTGGATTGCACGAAATGTTTACTAACGAGCAGCCCTTTGGGAAACAGGAAACCAAGGGATTTAGAAGATAAAATATCCAACTGAGAGGTAGAAGAATGGGATACACAACTGGATTACTTTAGCTGCAAAAATAGATCTTATTCTTTTGGCTACCCTTTTTGGGTATTTCGGCCTCTTATGCTGCATAACAGCATAAGCACTGCACAACGTATCATCCTTGGTCTGGATAGTCTAGTTTCAAAAGGTAAGTCTCGAAACAACTATCGGAATGAAAAGCAACTTGATAAAGTCACCCTTTTTTGCTGTAGCTGAGGCAGCCCTATTAAGGTTATCTATAGCCTGTCTTCTACACAAAAGAAAACTGGCACAGAAGTACAATCTCTTGTTACATGGGCAATCTTTAAAGTTTAATGAGGACAAAAGAATTCTATTTGGTTACAAGAACACAAAAGACTCTTCTGGTCTTTAAAAGTAAGAACTCCCTCTGTGTATGTCCCAGTGTCATACTGATCAATTTGCTGTAGAGCATATCTAGAATCTACTACAGACACCAGCTCAAGACTAAAAGCCACTATTTTTTATACCAATGTTTTAAACCCTCTCTGTCACCCTATTCTCCAAACAAATTGACAGACCCTGTTGTCTAAATTGTATGTGCTCATCTGAACACTATCCCTGGATCCAAGCTCTCTACGCTAGAAAACTCTCTATGGTAAGAATTCCACAATTTGGAGGAAAAAGCCTAACGTTTTCTTGATAAACAGGTACTCAATGAGAAGCAAAAATAGTAATACATGTTAAAAATACTGTCTCTAAAAATCCTGAGAAGTACACAGTACATTTCTTGGTTGAGGGTTTTGGTTTTTCTCCTTAAAAAAAACCCCAAAGTCGGCAAGTTTTATATGTATCAGATAACTCGAAAATCAGTTTACTTCCTAGCAACTGCATTCACATGAATGGCAGTCGAGAATCACTATTAAGAAGCAGTATTTGTTAGACAAAACACCCAAATAATTAAAATCGATAGACTGAATCACGATCAGAAACAAAACTTACTGACTTTTATGCATAAACATTTGATTATTTTTTTTTTTTTTCTATCTCCATATCTGCACAACTTAAAAAATAAGAGGCTCTTACCAGCTTCCTGTGAATTTAACACTTCTAAGGCATGCATCATGGCACTTGCGAAGACATTGGCATCTTCTTTGCTGCCAAAATTCAGACCATACACCTGCCTAGCATCACGCCACTGGTGGAAGGTCTGTGTAGCCTGATTGTACTTCAGCCCTTTCGGAATGGCACAATTTATTACCACCTATAAATATTAAAAAAAAAAGAAGTATTATTTATGTTTAAAATTGCTGTTTTATCACAAGTTTCAGCTTCATGTAGATTTTCTCTCTTGACTGTGGGTCCTGAATTAACCCACAAATTCATAATGCTGAAGCACATAACCAGTTCAGTTTTAACTCCAACACCATGTGAAATGTAATGAGAATACACAAAGGGATTATTAAAATATTTTGCATCAACTTTTGTTCCTTAAGCGTTTCCATTTTAAAAGATGCAGTTAAGTTTCATAACAGCAACATAGTAACATCAACAGTTCTGTCATCTAGTAGCAGAGCACATGACGTAAACACGCATTTGGATTTTAGAAATTCAACTTTCCGTTAACTTCACAAAGTACTTGTTAGAATTTTTTTTTAAACCAAGTTATCACCTCTCTCTGTGGTTGCTGCACACTTTAGTCTGCAGTGCTTTCACTAGCAGTTTATGTGGACTTCTGCTATGTCTCACAGAATATCATTTTGTATTATGGCTCACACAAAAAGTCATAAATTCTAGCGAGTAGGACAACTATTTATTACAAGCCATCTACTAAGAGGATCCCGTTGCACTTGGATAACTATCCTCTCACCTTTTTCCGCTGAATAATGGGAGAAAAAAAACCCACACTTTTTCTCAAATGGATGCACATAGACCATTGATTACTTGGAGTAAGTGTTTAATGACAAATCACATGGCAGATTTATCAGTCTATGCTTCAGCTGTGTGATAAATGACCAGTAACAATCCAGAAGAATTTTATGAAATACTGAGAGAGCAGGGAAGAGCTATAGAAGCTTTCTTCAAACAAAAAGTAGTCTTTTAACCCCACCCCAAGCACCACAAGGCAGAGCATACTTCAGGACAGAGTGCTAAGTTTGACATTTAATCAAGATGTAATAAGTTCTTCAAGGAAAATAAGATATATTCCTTGTTGGTCCCTTCTCAATGTCCCAAAGCAGTAGATGATCAGCATTACCAAATGTCAAAAGGCTTTTTGAATGAAGCGATCTGGGGAAATGAGATCGTGCATTCAACTCTTCATAAAGAGCTACAAGAGAATTGCTGGCACCAGCAGACTGCAGCTAACACCACAGAGCAGGGGAAAAAAAAATAAGAGTTTTTATGTTGTCACTTTGCCTTAAAGAGAATCAGATGGCTTCTCTGTACACCACTAGCCTTTACCTGTAGGAAGGAGCAATAAGAGTGCGCACGGACTATTGCCTTGAAGGTATGTTAAGTGCTTAGTTTACAGAGAAAAAGCCATAATACATTTTTCCTACTTCAGTTAGAAAGAAAATTATTTACAATTCCCATAATTTTACTGAAAATGTATTTCTGAATGTTACAAACAATCACAAAAATTCCAAGATTCCAATTCCAAACTTTCAGAGAGTCACTTACCTGATGATCCTGAATCTTTCTGCCCACTACTCTGAATGTGTTGTTGCCTGTGTGATGATATATATGAACTCTGCTGAATCCAGTCGATCCGCCAGCTGGTACCCATTTCTTATTGGCATCATCGTAGACCATTACAGCAGCTCGTGCTTGGCAGATACTCTGTTCACTGTTAAAATACAAGTATTTTAGAGTAGCACACAGTATTACTTATGGCAAATCATCATCTTTTTAGTTAACTTTTAAAAAAAAAAAAAACAAACCTCAAATTGTTAAAGCAATACTCCTCGCAACTTGCAGAAATATCCACTGTTCTAAACACAAAGGCACTAGCACTTTGATGTTGCTGAAAGGTGTTTGTTCTGAGAAGTTGTAAAGACAAACAGGCTGAACTACTAATGAAAGAGATCAAGAAGTGATTTACTTTTCCTTTTTCCCCTCCTTTTCCCCCATCATCAAGCGTGGATTTTAATTAAATGCCATAATGACACACAAAGTTTCCTGCAAAGGCTGAAGAACAAAGAATCCGGAGTTGCACTAACTTCATACAGTTTATATTTTCCAGTGGCAATTACATCTACAAGAAATGAGGACTGGAAAGCCATTGCTCCTCTGAAGGTTTATAGAACACATAAACAAAAAAATTCGGCACAAAAAATTCACCTGCTCATAAATGAAGTGCTTTTTGGTTTTGACATAGTTTACAACAGTTGATACCTAGATGTAACATTTTCTCCCCAAGAAAAGGTTCTACCGATTTCTGAAAAGCATAATCTCATCAGGAGATTGCTATCAGTAGCTAATCCTGGCTATAGCAGTCATCTGGCAGCTAAGGAACAGCCTCAAATTGAAAGGGAGCGTATCATGCGTATTAGAAACGCAAGAAAGCAGATCATACCATAAACACATTATTTATTAGGAGAGGAGAGGGCGATACAACACAAGTTATCTTATGAGAAATGTCCAGATGCAGACAAGAAATAAAAATAGAAAGGAATGATTTCTTATCAGTAAGCCAAATTCTCTGAACATACCATTCCAGCACATCCAACGTTATAGAAAGCACATGATGCCTGGCTTGCAAGGAATGTGGCCTGCCATGTGGAAAACTGAGAAGGCTGCAGAGATATGCATTCTTCATAATTACAAGAGGAAAGTAATGAAATATTTCTTCGTATTTTATGAAGGAGAGGGAAGATAAGTCTCCCACAGTCTTTCTTGGTTTGGGGTTTTTTTGTGGTTTGTTGGTGTTTTTTTGGTAGGCTTTTATCGATTGGTTGGTTTGTTCAAAAAGGGGGCAGAGGGAAGTGTTTGCTAGTTGGGATTTTTTCTAAAAGACCATACTGAATTTCTCAATATCATATTTCCATCTCCTGGCACATGAAAATTCAGCAGTGCATCCAGCTGTTTTGTTAACTTTTGATACTGACATTTTTGAGAAAACATAGCATCAAATTTTATCACACTTTCCATGGCACTTCAACAACTAGAAAAATGCACAACACTGGGATGCTTTTCGATGCCAGAAGAGAGAATACCAACATCATGCCTCCTAAGAGACACAAGAGAGATTCAAGATCAGATGAGGAAATATCCTTAATTTTTTTTTAAAAAAAACCCACAAGTCCTAGTCTCATCACCTATTCAACAACTAGATTAGACTGGGAGAACACCCTCTAATTAGACCACCCTTTTCCTAGCCAGAAATTAGTTCAACATAGGGATAGTAAAATTTTAACATACATATATACAGTGCTTTTTTTCTAAGCATAGTTTATAGTATAGATCATAAAGACCACATATGGTCCAGGAAGAAAGATTAGACGCACAGAAACTAAGTTACAAGCTTCAGGTGTTCCACAGTCCCATTGAAAACACGCCACAGGTAAATAAGAAGGTTCCCTCTGAGAAGAGGGCAATACAAGAACCTACTAGATTTCTTTACCTTTAGAGCATTTTGGTACAACTATTTTAAAGTTCAAGTCTAGAAACATTCTGTACTCTTCATAAAAGTACAAAGAGTACTGCTTTTTCCTAAATGGATAACAGTATTAAAAAAACTTGGAAAACTTCTGAATTTGAAACACATTTTGGCTATGTTTGAATTTGGATCAATCACCAGCATGATATAGCACAGGTGACAGCACCTAGATACTGATTTGGAAGCAGAGCCACATGGTTTGCAGAGTTCTTGCCAAAAAATAACTTTGTCTCAATCATGTGTCAGATAGATTTAAAAAAAAAAAAAACAAACCACAAACCAAAACATTTTGATTCTATTAAAAATTGAGACTATAAGTTAATACGTTCCAATTACAACACAGGTAGAACAAGAGAGTGATTATGGTTCAGTGATCAGAAGACTTAATTAGTAGGACAGACCAAGTTCAGATGCTCTTACTCAGAGCATTCTCACTCTTTGACCTGCCGTGGTCCCTCCACAGCCCTAAGTTTTGTAGAAGGTTTTACACAATTTTATTTAACATAAAAAGAGAAAACACCTACTCATTTTAGAACTATTTGGTATTCAAGTGGCACAATTCATAAGCACAAATAAGACGACCTTGAGTAGAATTTCTAGCTTTTCTTTAACAACTGTTAAACTATTTTTAGTTCCACTTCTCAGGCTATGCCTTATAACTGAAAACATTACACAAGCCTAGATCTCAAATACTTTATGCTCCATTTAAAATAAAAGAATTTTCTTAATAGCAGGGGGATTATTCTTACCCACATAAAGGCACGAGATGGTTCCCACACTTAAAAAACCCACACAACAAACAATTTCCATTTGATCTATGCTATCACTACACAGTAAGCTTTCTACCTTCGTTTCAGACAAATCCTATAACTAAAATGTTAATATTCCAGGTCCATAATTTTCATATCTAGGTATCAATTTGAAGGTGACATACTCCCCCCTCCTGCCAACAGTTCCCACCACCCATCACTTTGCTTATCAGACTGCAGCAGTAAGATGGAAAAACAGAGCTATCACTAGCAGAAACAAATTAAACCATCACAGTGTGCTAGCCTTTTTCCAAGGTTCAATAATTGCACATTACTAGATGTAATGGAGATTAATTCAATTTCTTTCTTATAGTAAAAAGTTCTGCATTCTGACGTGATTACGTTTTGCTTTGAAGAAAAGCATGGAGACATGAGCTTTAGCCAAGAAGAATCTTTAGGTCTGCTCTTCAATGACCATTTGATAGTTAAATATATGAATATTGTACATAGTATCTTACAGCAATGAGACACTATAATTACATATTTAAGTCTCAAAAAAAAATAATTTTAAAACTAGATGTGTACCTGAACTCTACTAACTTCAAAGGGCTACACCAAATTGAAAATCCATGCTTTCAGCTCATTGTTATCCTTGACGGGTCTAATGAAAGTTATTGTTTTCTTTCCATGATCCACCTTTTTCTAGTAAAAGGCTGAGTTTAACATACAGACTATTACTAGAACCTGAGTCAGTGCCCTTTGTATTGTTCTACAAACATACATGAATTTAAACTTCGGTTCAAAGGCACAAGTGTCAAGTGAGTAAGAACAGTGTCATCTACTGTATTTCTTGCTTTTCAAGCTTATCACATTTCCCTGCTGTACTTCTAACAGGAAACTGGTCTTCACTGATCTCAGTATTTATACAAGAACTCTTCACAGTCTACAGGGTCTTCTGCAACACAGGTCCCTTGGACTGCAGAAACTTACAGCAAGATGCTAGGATGACTTTTCATTAACTGCACAAGAATCGCTTTGATGACAAACATGGGGGGGTTGTTTGGTTTGGGTTTTTTGTTTTCTTTTTTTTCCCCCTTTTTATGGACAGATAATTTATTTCCCACTGGTGCTAAAATAATCTACAGTCATGTTGCAAGAGAAAAGAAAAAACAGTCTTCATGTATTTTCCTTGTTACTGGGCCTTCAAAAGCATCCTACAGGGTTTACTTGCCTATCTCTAAATTTCCTTTTTTCTGGTGTGTTATACTAGCATAATGGTTCCAGAAACAATTACACTTGGATTAGTCTGCACCTTCCCAACCTGAGTGCTCATTAGGGGATGCAGGAGGATGAGGGAAGGGATCCCATGTCGAGCTTGAAGCGCTACAGCAAAAACACACAGCTGCTCCAAGAGCTGGCTGCTAACTTATTAGGGCAGTGGGTTGGGAAACTAAAGTGACAATGTAAATATTAACTAAGAAAAATTAAGGAACTGTCTGTTCCCAAGAAAACTTACCAAACTGAGTATATGAAATTATAGGCAGAAAATAGAAAATACATAAAAGGCAACATTCATGCAAAACAGTGCTTACTAAACCTTAGGAAACAAAGTGTACAACCTCTCTTCCCAAAATGTAAAGCTTGACAAATAGCTGGATAAAGATGTTAGGAAGAGCTCTTCTCTAGACAAAGATGTAAGGCTCTGATTGTTAAAGCCAACCATTATTCTGATAAGTCCACCTACAGCAATACCATATAAAGCCAAAAGACGGGTGGCTGGTTTTTATTTGGGGTGGAAGAGTGGGGGGAGGTCTGGCACTCAAAAGGCTCACACAAAAAACCACAGTAGTAATGAATCATAAGATTATTCTTATGGGAGAATATACTTTCCTCCTCCAGTGATGAGATCATACGGAAAGCTCAAAAACCAAAGCAAACTGAACCCTAACAGACAGCATTCTCTCGCCCAGATGGAATGTGTTCCTACTTTCACATCCCAAGTCCTTAAGCTCAAGGCACAGTGACACTAATGCACAGTCTGCTGACCTAAGCCTTTGTTTTAACCCTCCCCGAAGAGTGGGTGCTTGGTTTTCCTCTCTCAAGAACTAAAAAGGATAAACAGGCTTAAATGATCAAAATCATATGGAAAACAGCAGGACTGCAGCCATAGAAATACACTAAGAGAAAATAAAAGCTGTGATTTCCGATCTTTACTCTTTATTATTTTTGTCAGTGATGTAACTGAGTTTTTTTGAAAATCATATCCCACTACCTCTTCTTCTGGTGATTCAGAGTGGGTTTGTGGGTTTTTTTGTTTTTGTTTTTTTGCTATGTTCTCAATTTACAGAAACATAACAACATGTTCTTAAATGTGCAGTCTTTGTGTGGCAGAAGGAATGAAAAGAGACAGTGATTCATCAAACGCCTGTTTAGGATTTT